ATCTATCATTTGCCCGATAATAAATGTTGGAAATGTAAAGAGACTGAAGGTACATTCTTTCACCTTTGGTGGACATGCCCAAAGATTAAGGCTTTCTGGGAGATGATCTATAACGAAATGAAAAATGTATTTAAATATACCTTCCTGAAGAAACCAGAGGCCTTTCTCCTGGGCATTGTCAGCCAATTGGTGCCAAAGAAGGACAGAACTTTCTTTATGTATGCTACTACAGCAGCAAGAATACTTATTGCAAAGTATTGGAAGACACAAGATTTACCCACTCTGGAAGAATGGCAGATGAAGGTGATGGACTATATGGAACTGGCGGAAATGACTGGCAGAATCCGAGACCAGGGAGAAGAGTCGGTGGAAGAAGATTGGAAGAAATTTAAAGACTATTTACAGAAACACTGCAAAATTAATGAATGTTAGAATGATGTTGGATTGAAGTTAAGCGGTTTTTAGTAGTAATGTTATAAAGGAATATATAAAATGGTTTGTTAACAGGTGATAATATAAAGCTATAATATATTAAGATAAAAGATTAAGATAAAATCAAAGAGGGAAAGGATTTGCTGAACTAATTAATTGAACTGGAATACAAAAAAGGGAGGTGTGAGGAGGTCAGGGAAACAAGCAAATGAAAGATAAGATTTGGAAAAAATGATTTGTTTTTAACTGTTTTTATTTTGTATTTTCTTTTTTTGTTTTTTTTTCTTGTTTTTGTAAAATGTTGAAACCTTAATATCTTTTTTAAAAAGAGAGAGAATTTAGAACATGGAAAAGAGTTGTGTTGCTCACAGCAACTAAATATTGCCTTGAATGCCCAGCAACTGCGCAACAGAAACACAGAGCTGAAGGAGGGTGTTTGTATAACAAATGCACAATTATTGGGCTGAAAAACCAATGACACATTATTATCAGAAAAATGCTTCAGTTTCCTGCAAGAAGTGTTCTCAGTTCAAAAACATCACTTCTCACAAAGCACTGCATCGAGGAAGAACCAAAGACAAAATATGAATATGTATTGTATTTTCCCCTCCCCTCCTCCAAGCAGCTCTGGCAATACACAGGTCACTAACCTCATTTATCCTCATAGCAATCTTGTGAGGCAGCTTATGGCGATATGGGAATGACTGAACCAAAGTCACTCAATGGACTTTGCAGCTAAGCAAATATTTGACTACCAGGTCTCCCCAGTCCAAGCACACCGTCTACTGCACCACAATGGCTCCTAATTATTTGTGCACAAGTAAGCAACAGGTGTTCATGTGAGAAGACCGTGCAGATCAAATGTACACACCAAGAGGTAGAAGCATATTCCAGCTTCCCTATTATACACGCAGAACACAAGAGAAAGTAACCAAGATACATGATCATGCTAAGCCATCCTAATGTGAAGCCAGCATTATTCCAAATTAAACAAATCTTTGATTTAAGTAAGTGTGCAGTTCCCTTTGAGATGCCATTTCAAGCTTTGTCCTTTCTCTTTGCCCGAATGCCAGTTTGATGTCGGTCTTCTCAAATGTCACAACCATCACCATTTAAGTATCAAATAAAAGCCTTATTTCTGCTCCCATAATTGAGGTAGTTCTCCACCCCCACCCCCCAAATTAAATCGGCCTGAGATGCAACAGTATATTTAACCCAGCCTCAGTGACACCTTTCCTATACATAAATATGCCACAGGTTTAAAGTCCATTATCTTGCAACCCTCTATGGCTAGAAACGACAGTTTTATACTATGTGAAAAGGAGTGATTTCCCACCTTCCATTCCAAGAAGGTCCCAAGGTATTGGATGTTAATGTCATGACATTTTTAGGCATAGAAAAGCTTTTAGGTTATCCAGAGAATGTTTTATGGCTCCCATTGAGCCTTGGTGAGCATTTGAGCCAGTGGTAAATGGATGTATCTATTTTTACAGGCAAGAACAGCATGAAACGAGAGGGCAGAAAAATACAATGGAAACTAGAAAAGCTTTCCACACTAGCTGAATGCAGTGCACTTTGCTTGTGCAAAGTACACTTTCCCAGAAGGTTCAAGTACAAAACAAAATGCAGTGCAGTAGATATATTTAATCTACATTTTCCAAGCACATAATATCCAGACATTATGAACATATGAAGCTTAGTCATGAAAGGAGTGGGAGCGTTGCTCCACCTCATCCATTATTGTCATTTCTGCTGGCAGTAAGACTAAGGTCACAGGCCAGGGATTTCTTAGCTCTGCAATGTGAGATCTTTGACAAAGAGATGGCAGGAGATAATCTGGGACTTTTTGCATGGTAATCTTATGCTCTACCACTGAGCAATGTCCTTCGTCCCCACCAAAGGACAAGCTTCTGTTCTTAACATTTAAGCAGACTGCCCCAACTACTCACTGACCCTTATTATTACCCAAGCAGCAAGAAATTGCAGGGTGGCAGTGCTTACCCAGGTTTGGTTTCCTTTGGAAGGAGGTTAGTGAAGGCTTATTGTGTTCTGTAATATTTGACTTAATTAACTGTGCTGCAGTTCAACATGTGGGGGGCCACAGATTCTTTATCCCTGGCCCACATCAGGTCTCCAGAGAAAGGCAGACAGCCCTCCAAAATGCTCCCGCAGTTGCAGATCCCCACACCCAGCTCTCTGCCTCTTGCTCTGCCCCTCTCTTATTCCTCACTCAAATCTCTGGTTTCCATTTCTTCTTTTCACCCACAGACCTAGATCACATCTAGAAAGAGCAAGAGCAAGCAAAGGAAAGTAAAAAATACGCACCCCCTTTCAGGTATTTCCTAGACATTCAGAAAGCATATCTGGGCTGTGTCACCACCAAGTTCCCAAAACAAAAGGCCTGTCCAACCCCTGAATCTCACAACATAACAATGCTTACCCAATATTTAAACACATTTCTGTATGCCATGGCAAATTCAGGAGCAAATATTCCTTCATAACTTGCTGTGATGGTAAACGTATTATAAAGAGGACCCTAGGCCTAGGACTTTTTTCAGCTAAGCTAGGAGTTGCAGCTGAAGAACCAAACATGTATACCACTGAACTGCATACAGCTAGTCAGTCCCACGTTGTGGGGTGGGGGAGAAAGCAAACCTCCCATTTCAGGTGGGGATTTGAAAGAAAAGAGAAAATGGCACAGCTCCTTCTGTCACTGGCAGCTGGCTTCAGGATACGAGAAGTTATAACCATTTTTCTGTAACTTGACGCCGGAAGAGCCGCTATGTCTACAAATTTCACCCAATTCTGTTAAAATAAAGTTTGAGCCATTTTTTATTTCTAAATACTGACACAGGGGAATTGAACAGATATCAAAAGTACAACAGCTGCCCTTATGGGGAAAGTACAGCAGCTAGCTGTCTGAAATTTAACTGAGTTCATGCCTCCAGAAGGAGTGACTGCTAATTTAATCAAATTCTGGCCAAAATAATAACAAAAACTATAGACCATTCTGGGGTGTGTTATTTTGGGGGGGTGTCCAGATTAGAGATGGTCGGCTCCCTGGACTATAATTTGATAGGTTTTAGCCAATACTCTGTGCAATACTCATCTACTTCTGTCAAAAGTGGAAAAGGTTATCCCAGATTTCCAAATAGTGAATGGGGGAAATGAAAGAGACCTGGACTGCTGAGCCACATCCCAGACGACCTCCAAATATTGGTCCAGCCCAAATTAAGCTGTTTCACAAAGCACCAAATTGGGGTCCAGACCAATCTTGTGGTCAGCACACTGATTTTTAAATCTCTCTGATAAAATTCCACATATAGCATGATTCAGATGTATCCATGTTGGAGATCCTTTGATTCCAATAAGAGTTAAGAACAAGTTTTGACTTTTTAAGAAGGGCTTTAGCTTGAAATTTAGTATTGGATATTCTGTTGTGCCAGAATATTTATTCTCTGAACCTTCTGTTGCAATAGCCATGGTATAAATTCAAGGACAAATGCCTGCTTCTTTATAAACTTGAATTAGTAAATTGATCCTCTTTGCCCAGCATGTTTTTAATGAACTCTGAGATAAAATTTGATAAGTTCATGAAAACAATTACTGGTAAATTAGATAGCACAATGAACAAGAGGCACTAATATAGTAGAAGCTATTCAGTGCATTCAATAAACCCAAGTGAACTGGATTGTGCAAATAAAATTCTACCATACAGTGGCAATTGTATGATGATGCAATGATTAATACTGGATTTGCAATTTTTAAAGGCTTTGATTTGCACCACATTCTTGTATGATGTTGCAAGAGGTCAAGAGAACATTCCACTGCAAGGACATATCTGACTACAAATTATCAAAATGAAATTGGGATCAAGGTTCAGGTATCTGAAATGATGGCAAGTGTAACCACTGGAAAGATATTTCTTTTAAATATATATATGCACATGCCCCGAGACATTTATTATGAGGAGTCATGTCTCAACCTTAGACACATGGGCTCAAGTCAGCACACTAGGGCTGTCTTCCCACTTACATACAGTCAATTCAATTAATCTGAATGAGGGTCATTTCCATAAATTTGCTTGGAGTTAAATAGATCCAAGAGAAGGAAAGTATTTTAGAGACTATGCTTAACTTTTAAATAGTCAGTGCTGAAAGTGAAAAAAGCTGGTTCCAATAGATTCATTACTTCCAATTGGATAGCTCAGTTGGTTAGAGTTGGATCTAGATGATCCACAGGGTCCCTTTCCAATTCTATGATTCTGTTTCCTGCCCTGTTTCCTAGGAGTTCAATGCAGCCATTTTGCCTCAAAGGCTACTCTGTTAAGATAGCCTATGCTGATAAAGACTTGGCCAAGGTCACACAGTCTGGCACTCTGACATTCTTCTAGAATACATTTTTTGCCAGACGAGGTCATTCCTTTTTAACCAGATACCTATTCAGACATGCATACAAATTCAGATGTGCTGTAGTCAAAATCTGACTTGCAATCAAATGGAATTACCCAAATTTCTTCTTCTTCTTTGGCGATCACTCACAGCCGAGTAAGATTGTCTTCCATAAACACAGTTTTAACAATGTTTTAACAATAAGTGACCGTGGAGGCCAATTCTGGATCCACACGTCCTTCCACAGTGGGGACATTGGTTTCCGGGTGGGACTCCCCCATAGCTACTGAGGTCCTTTCACAAATTCCGCAAAAACAAGTTAGGGATGAGCTTGCAGTATCTCCAAATCTGGGAGAGTTGTGTTCAGCTATTAACCCAAATTTAATCTAGGTCCCAATCACAGAACATGTCTGTTTTTTCACAAGAAGCACGTTAATGTCTTGAAGCTAGGTGGGACCAATCATATAATTCATTTTCAACTGACCATCACCAGATGAGTAGGAAGACAGGGTGACAATCAGGTAAAAGGAACCAATACAACTGGTTCTTCCCATATCATTCTGGACTTAATGTACCAGCATGGGGGAAAGTCATGGAGAAACAACTCCTGTGCCACTGAAATAACAGAAGAGCCCCGCTTACAAAGCCTTTCTCAACCTTGGGTCCCCATGTGTTATTGAACTACAATACCCAACATTGGCCATGTTAGCTAGGAATGGTGGGAGTTGTGGTCCAATAACATCTAGGGACCCAAAGTTGAGAAAGGCAGGTGTAGGCTCACCTTTTCTTTTCTTTTTCTCCTAGCCTCACCTCACCACCCCCTAAATGATTGACAGCTGTGCAAGCCTTTGCTGGTGCAGAGAATTCAGCTGGTTTGGCCTCACTTGTGCTGAAGTTCTCGTTGCAGAAGTGCATCTAAACATTTTAAAAGAGATGTAGCATATAACTTGTTTCTAGAGTGGACACCTATTTATAAATGTTCACACACTATTCAGAGAGTTTCATCCATAAAGAAGTAGAAAAAAAATGGTTAAGGATAGAATCAAAAGCCTGAAAGATAAGAGCAAATTTCATATGAATTACAGATCATAGATTATGCATTCACTTTTTGATAAGTAGCCTCTGTAAATATGCCCCTGTGGAGATGCAGTGCAGCTTATCAACCCACCTATCCAACTTGATGTTACTTGAATGCAGTGCTGCCAAACTGGGACATGTTTTCCTCCATATATTAAAACTGTTATTATGATTTATCATTGGCATTTTTATCCTGCTGTTCTGCTGAAATAGGCTTCCAGAACAGCTTACAAATATCAGTGAGAAGACAGTCTGTGCCCACAGTAAGAGAGAGGTGACACAAAAGGAACGGGGAGCAAACGAAAAGCAATACATGCACTTAATGGAGCATTCTTTTCCTTAATTGTTGTATATCACGTCTCCACCCCCACATCATCATGACTTCATCAGTGCCCCATTTGTTTCCGTTTGTGTACACACCAGGGGACATTGAGAAGGCAGGGGTGTCCTTAGCCTATGCAAATTAGGAATGGCTTAAGTTTGAGGTTAGTTTGAGTACCAAGGCATCATACAGTCGTATCTTATAATCAAGCACAGGATACATATGCATGTGTGAACGTGGATTAAAAACTCAGCACTGGAAAAGCAGTGAGAGTCCAGTAAATGGAAGTGTGAACACAGAATTAGTTGCAGAGATCTTGTAAGGTAAAGGTAAAGGTACCCCTGCCCGTACGGGCCAGTCTTGCCAGACTCTAGGGTTGTGCGCTCATCTCACTCTATAGGCCAGCGCTGTCCGCAGACACTTCCGGGTCACGTGGCCAGCGTGACAAGCTGCATCTGGCGAGCCAGCGCAGCACACGGAACGCCGTTTACCTTCCCGCTGGTAAGCGGTCCCTATTTATCTACTTGCACCCAAAGGTGCTTTCGAACTGCTAGGTTGGCAGGCGCTGGGACCGAGCGACGGGAGCGCACCCCGCCGCGGGGATTCGAACCGCCGACCTTTCGATCGGGAAGTCCTAGGTGCTGAGGCTTTAACCCACAGTGCCACCCGCGTCCCGCAGAGATCTTGTAGTGAACAGCAAAAATGTAAGCATTTGGGAGATGAGCCCAAGGTTGCTAGTCTTTCAGTGGATGAAGTGGTTCTGCCCCATCTTTCTCACTCTCCTATAGCTTGAGCAAAGGTTATTGGTGGCAGCTGAAGGAGGAGCATGGCGCAACTGGTATTTTGACAGTTACATTTTAAATTAATGAATACATTATTTATATTATATTAATTTGTTAACATTTTGTAACCCAGATATGCCTTAATTCTATTGTGGATGCAGTAAAGTCTTTAATGAACTTCTTGCAGTGAATGTCTGGAGTCTAGATTGTCCATCATTTGTGAGGTTGGAAAGATCACTTGCAAGCTTATTTGTTTCATGAATGGTAGTGTGAACATAGCAACATGCTTGATTACTTCATACTTTCACAAAGGCAAAGCAGCTTTTATTTTTTTTTATTACTAATTAAAATGGGGCAATTAACACATTTTCTGTATGTGAAAATGAGGTGATGAGACATGGAAATTACACTACTTCAGAAGCAAACACAAAAGGCCTTTGGCTACACAATCACAGGTGCTGGCAACTTCCCTCCCCGTCACACTGTTCAGCAGCGCTTACTGTATGAAGAAAGGCTCACACAGCACATGGCCAGCCTCCCTGGCACTGGCAAGCCTGTGGACCTTCACAGAAACATTTCATTCCATTTATGATTACCACAAGCAGTGCATTTTCTGTAGAAACAGAAGGTGCCCATACTTGGATCCTGATAAATTGCTAAATACCTCTCCTCCCCCTCCCCGTTTCTGTTGATTTTGTGATGAACTTTTTTATTAAAAAGTTGATAATAAAATTCAAAATGTTTACCATTTTATAGATGGTATTTATTACCTTGAATTATATAGAATTAGCAATTAAGACGTCTTAATTAATCCCAAAATGACCACTGGGAGGTGTGTGGCACAGAATTAAGCGAGAGTGGAGTCACTGCTGTTTGCCCCATCCAAACTCGTGCTTAGCATGAGAAGTCGGTGCTATGCCCTGCTGGTCTTGTTTGTGACATTCACACATTATTGATTTTCCACACAGAGACGCCAACGCCAACACTGCCTCACCCCCCGTGCGCATACAGTGATGCTGTTATTG